CAATATGTATCTGAATGCTACTTGCAGAGAGTCACAAATGGGGAGGGTGCTGTTGTACCCAGGTCCTATTTTCAGGATTCCTAGAGGCATCTGCCTAGCAACAGAACGTTGGACTAGATGGGCCATTGACCTTATCCAGCTGCGCGGTTCTTACGTTAATTAGGAGCTGGACAGCAGATTGAGCAGGCACACAGGTCACTTGGTTGCAGTCTACCCCGCTGTGATGCATTGTATTTCTGTGCATTTACCTCCAAGGAGATCAAGGTAGTATACGTGGTTCTCTTCTCCCCATTTTATGCTCAAAAATTCCTGTGAGAGACAGTGACTGATCTTCCCGTGAGCTTCATTGGCTGAGTAGGAAGAAGAAGAAGAAGAGTTTGGATTTGATATCCCGCCTTTCACTCCCCTTCAGGAGTCTCAAAGCGGCTAACAATCTCCTTTCCCTTCCTCCCCCACAACAAACACTCTGTGAGGTGAGTGAGGCTGAGAGACTTCAGAGAAATGTGACTGGCCCAAGGTCACCCAGCAGCTGCATGTGGAGGAGTGGAGGCGCGAACCCGGTTCCCTAGATTACGAGACTACCGCTCTTAACCACTACACCACACCGAAATTCAAAGCCTGGTCTTCCAGATAGATCCTAGTCAAACACTTTTAACTGTTACACCACACTCGCTCCCCAGTTGTAGTCCTAATACTCCCTATGGACGTGGGCATTGGGACCCTGCTTCCAGCAGTAAATGTCTTGAGCTGGCACTATGTACTCTACTGGTCATAGAAAGAAACATTGTACATTCAAATGACAAGTCATTTTGTGGAACTGAAGTTTGGGGACTTGACTGCATTGCTTTAGTTGTACCGACCATGGCTCATTCATCTCTGATGTGACAGCCTCACTCCTTAATCCACAAGCCCACTGTTCTCTGTCTGCGTGATCAACGCAGGCAATTTGAAAAATTCAAATGATTTCATCCTGTTTGTTTTCCTGTTTCTCTTAAGAAAGCAAATCTTAACAAAACAAATACTCTGAAGTTCACTGGTTTATTTTGTCCATGATTTCAGTACAAACATGTTTGTTCTGGTTAAACTCTTGCAATGCCCTCTCTTAATTATATTCAACACCCTCCCATGAGAATTGTGACTGAGGTTATATAAATATACCACACTTGGTTCCAGCAATTCTAGCTTCACTCTTGTGGCTGTCATATCCCCTTGCTGCGTTTATATAGCCAAACAATCACTGAGACTGAAATTCTATGCACGTTTGTTTCATACATAATGACGAAGTAGAATGACTTCTTGTGGAGGCAGTTAGGGAAGGCTGGAGCCAAATTGCCTCTGGTCCCAGCCAAACCAGTGGAGAAGGTCTTGCTGCCTCATCTCACTTTGTCTGAAGCTGACAGGCTGAATGGCTATATCAGATGTTGCCTGGGCATTCTAAGAACATAAGAGCATAAGCAGAGCCCTGCTGGATCAGACCATGACCAATAGTCGGAAGTGGGGGAGGGGCATTGTAGTACAGCAACATCTGGAGGGCCACAGCTTTCCCACCATATCTATAGCTGTGGATTGTCCCCATCCTCCTTCCTAATGAACCAACTTCCACAGGCCACATCATCTGATTGAGTATATGGCAGTGTTTAGTGTTCCTAATGCTGAGTGTAAAGGGGACCCATACCACTTAAGGATGTTGTTGGATTTCCAACTCCCATCAGTCCCAGCCAGTGTAACCAACAATTGGGGAAGATGGGAGTTGTGGTCCAACAACATGTGAAGGGTTGCAGGTTTTCCACCCAAGATACAGGGCAATAAATAGGCAGCCGTTTCTCATTTCATTGGTTTTCCACCCCTGAGCTAGCCAGAATTGCCTGTTCTATGAGCAGCACCCCAAGGTATGAGGAAGAGTTTAAGGAATTCCATTTCTGTGAATTACGATATGAACTGACCTAATCTGCACTGCCTAGTCTAATGGAACCTAATTGGAACCCAAGTCTCCTTTTAAATTCTATACCTCTCCAAATTTTGTAATAGCATTTTCAGCTCAAAGAACTTACCAAAATGCATCAAAATGCATATGTATTCCTATGCCCTTTTAAAATGCATTGGGGGGAGTGTTATTGAGTTGTTCGTACAGTATTTTGTGTTTTGTCATTTTATAATTTGATTTTATTCTCCCACCCTGAGACCTCCTAAGCACGTGCTTATTTTGCTTAATGGTTAATCCAGCCCTGCATGTAGCCACACTTTCCTAGCCTTCAGACTAAAGGTACCCCTGCCCGTACGGGCCAGTCTTGACAGACTCTAGGGTTGTGCGCCCATCTCACTCAAGAGGCCGGGGGCCAGCGCTGTCCGGAGACACTTCCGGGTCACGTGGCCAGCGTGACATCGCTGCTCTGGCGAGCCAGAGCCGCACACGGAAACACCATTTACCTTCCCGCTAGTAAGCGGTCCCTATTTATCTACTTGCACCCGGGAGTGCTTTCGAACTGCTAGGTTGGCAGGCGCTGGGACCGAACAATGGGAGCGCACCCCGCCGCGGGGATTCGAACCGCCGACCTTTCGATCGGCAAGCCCTAGGCGCTGAGGCTTTTACCCACAGCGCCACCCGCGTCCCTGCCTTCAGACTACCAGGGCTGAAATTGTGCCACCAGAGTCCACAAACTGTACTTACTGTGTATGTTTTTATCCAGGAGGTATGCCTGGTCTCAAGGGAAATATGACATGTTAATTGTATAAGCATCCTCCTACTACCCAACATCTCTTGATACAAAGGAAGCATGCCAACACACGCACACATGTCCCCCCAAAAACAATGTACTGAAATGTGTTTATATATAAAACTGCCACAGATGGAGATAACAACCCTCATCTATATTTAGGTCATGCCAGGTTATTTTCCTTAGAGATAATTGATAATTGGAACAACAGCAATTTTTCCACCTGGAAAGTTCTGGTTTATCAGCTATAAATGGTAATGCATCATCACATGTTAACTGTTTAATGATTCCATTGCACTAAACTTTGGTATTTATCTTCGTGGCTAACTTCAAAGAAAGCTGAAGCTCAGTTGTGTAGAAAAGGGAATTTTTTCAGGTTCAGTCTTTCTCACACCTGCAAAACAAGCTGCATCAGCCAAAATTCCTTCTTAAGAGCCATTCAAAAACATTTCCAGTGTAGTCCAGTCTCATTTTGCCATGATGATGATGATTTTATTTTATTTTATTTGTACCCTGCCCATCTGAATCACCTGGGTTCACAGATGAAAATGCTGTTGTTTTCCTTCCTGGGTGAGCAGCAATATTTAGGGGCAGAGGCCCGTCTACCTGTGCAACTGTCTAGCAAATGCTTTTGCATATTAATGTACAGGTATTGGGATATGAGAGAGATTGGATAACTACATTTAGCATACATTATTTGGGTAACATCTTTATTAGGGCAGATGACACATCCCAAAATAGTGTGAAAGCTTTCAAGTTCTGTAGGACTCTTTATCAGGCTAAACAAACCAAAGCTGAGTACAGGAGGGGAAAGGCTGGCTGGTGGGGAAGTCAGAGTCTGGGCTCACAGACTTGAGATGGAGTCTAAGGAGGCTCTGTGAGGTGCTGCGCCCTGGTGGGAGTTACTTCTGAGTAAACATGCATAGTCTGCATGTTGAGTATTGCATGTGGCAAGTGGTAGGGCTTTTGTGGAATAGTGATAAATATGTAGAAGGATCATTTATGAGTCACTGTTCTTGTTCTTGTAATTATTTTTAGCATTAGTCTTAAACTATGCAAGCATGGATGAATTAAGCTAACATTACTAGTAATCACAGCCTTGATCATCATCCTCATTAAAGAAAGAGAAAACACACTATGGCTTTATGAACTGTTCATTGGAGCTACATGTAGACTAGTGCATCCTTCGCTATCCTGTTGGTGCCTTCCAGGCATGTTGCACCACAACTCCCATCAACCCCAGCCCCAGCTATTCCTCCTCCCTACCATTCAGTTATTATCAGGAAAAATGGGAATGACTTGTTTCCAGTTCATTAGGTTTAGAGGATGGTTCCTAGTATGTAAAAATCTTCAGATGAAGGGCAGTATATAAATTTAACTGATGATGATGGTGACATATAGCTTTCATTTTAAAATGTGCTCTAACAGTTTGTGGGGAGGAAGAGAAGAAAAAATTTCATGTACAGTATGGGGTAAAATTGCAGAGACTTAAAGAAGAAGAATATAATGAAGAAAGTGTGAGCCAGGAAAAATAAGGGGCAAAAGGCTTTATTTCCAAATTGTTTTCAGAAACTGCTTCTACTGAAAAGTCCAATAAAAATCTTGTTTCCAATGAGCTCTCTTTAACTATCCATAGAAATCTGTGGTCACACACACACACACACACCTTCCTTTGCTAAACCTGTAGCCAGAGATATGGCTAATTGGTCTGAGCCAAAATGTGAACTTCATACTGCACCCCTTCCTACTGGCAGAGTTATTTATGTCCCTAAGCCCCCTGGGATGTTTTTCCCTTAGTCCAGCTGATGTTTCATCCTTGTTGCATATGACAGGACTGGTGATCCTCCTTCAGAAGTCAGAGTGTGTGAACATTCAGTGGTATCACAGCAGCTCAGCCAGTAGACAGGTGACAGCTAATTTAGCATATATTTTAGAATTCCACAATAAATTGTGTTGGTTTTTGCATTGGGAAATGTCTGCGGGCCTCTGTGCATGATGAGCTGAGTGAAATTCTAGCTGCGTGGAAAATCTGCACATGTTGGACATCCGTGCGTGGAAAGTCAGCCATATGGACATGCTCTCCGCACATGATTTTCCTTTCAACATACATTGAGAAATACTATAGAGAAGTGCTTTACTGAAAGCCCTGTTCTGCATGTAGCCACTAGTCATATTACCACATTGTGGTGGTTATATCTGCCTGTGAAACACAATTGAGAGCCCTAAGATTGAAAAAGGTGTTTGCCATGTACCAGTTCTGGACTGATTTCTTCCTTTTCCTTTCAGCTCACAACTCCAGCTTTCCCTGTTGTCGTCAAGCTGGGACATGCTCATGCTGGAATGGGGAAGGTAAGGAAGAGACAATATCCTCACTTTGAGAATGACATATATGCTCTGTACCCTTTGGTGTGCAAAACAGCATACAATCCTTTCACTGGAACAAAGCGAATTTCCCACATCTTCCCAGCACCACCACGACAAAGCCTCAAGAAGAGAAGGGGGGAATGGGGGGAGACATGATAGTAGTGTTCAAATATCTGAAGGGCTGCCACACAGAAGATGGAGCAGACCTGTTATCTTTTGCTCCAGAAGATATGACTAGAACCAATGGATGGACATTTTGGGGAAGTAGATTTTGTCTAAATTTAGGTATTTAAGCAGAGGGTGGACAACCATTTTTGTTGCAGATTTTGCACTGAGCAGGAGGTTGCAGGGCTAAATTGTGATGGTGCAATTGGCGCAAGTGTACCAGAACCCATGCCTACAAGGGGGCACAGTCTCTGAACGTTCACATTTTAAAAAAGAAGTTTCTGACCCTCCCAGAAGGAAAGTTACAAAGCAAAATGTGCAGGCAACCTTCTAAGTGGAAATTGAGCCAGGCTAGCTGCTTCGGCATTTCAGTGTTTCTAGCCAATGAGTTGACGTCTGAGCTGTGACTGAGTGCTAAGTAAATACGGTAGTTTGGACACTAGGCTACAGGAATCCTTGGAGTACTAAAATGCTGCTTTTCCCCTCCTCTTTAGTGCACTTTTTCTTCCTGCGTCTGCCTAATCCTTAGAATCTCTGTAGTTTTAAAGACCTTCCAAAATTCCCCTTGTCTCCCATTGCCCTTCTTTTCTTCTAGCAACTAGGATATGCCAAGAAGGGGGTTGAACAGAAACATAAACCTATGATTCTGTGATTCATGTCAACTCTCAGTTTAGAGGGGCAAGTCCATATAGTTGGACATAAACCTGAGGCCAGACTACACAAAAATGGGAGAGAAAGGCTATAGAGTGCTAGGGTAGAAGTCAGTTGGGGGAGAGAATGCACAGGGTGGGTAATCAGATTTCTCCTCAAAACCTGGAAGGTGAGCCGAAGTGTGATTGCATTACTGCCCACAAAGGTTCTGTATTTTCAATATGAACAGGTGTTTTGCTGCAGTGCCCCAGGTCCAGCTCATGGAAATTCACCAGTAGCACAGTAGAATGTCCACCGCTGAAAATCCAGGACCTGGATATTAGCGACAATTGTTATAATATGTTAATACAATAGTACATCATGTCCCAGGATCCTTATAGGATGTATAAAATGAATAATTGAAAATAATGGTATTGCAACAAAATACATTGGAAATTTTCACCACGTGATATTATACAGTTAAGACATTAGAGGAAGGGGACATTAAAAACATTGACTGATCCATTTAAGATCAGGGCTCTCCATCTGACAGTGAAACATAAATAGGATTGCATATATGGAAGGCTTATGCTGAACTGGAGTGTACTGAGCGCAGAGTGGATACCTGCTTGAGAGTTTCTTTAGCAACTATGAGGCTTTTGTCATGCTTTCCATTGAATGAAAATTGGGTAGTCATCTTTCAAAGTGTTGTTAACTTGTACTCCAAGGGGCTCATGGGCCCTCTGTGTGTATTCTTGCCTACAAAAAGTGATCACCATCAGTAACTGACCCCACTGTTTGATCCTACTGAATGACAGCCTCCTGTTATTTGCTCTTTTCCCCCTAAAGGAAATATAGGCATTCATTTACTGGGATTTCACAGAGAAGGAAAGAAGTTTCCTGCCTTTTTGTTTGGGAGCTTGCCAAGGGAGAAATCCTAAAAAACAGTTTTCTTCCAAACCTGTTTGTTTTTCCCAGACTCTCTGGGATCGTTCTGCATTCAATGGATTAGCAGCTTCTTTCACTTTGGGAAGTGGAAGCAGCATTCCCCTCTGCCAATGGAACACTATCTGCATTTTGAGCAAGTACTATAAGCACCTTGGCTTCTGGTCATGTATACTGTTGTCCCTAGCACTAGGACAAGTAATGCTTGTCTAAATATTATCTGCCAGTTACTCAGGAATTTAGGATCTGTTATGATTCCCCCTCCCACACTTAAATGAATTTTTATCTCCACAGCAATATCCATTCAATACCACCATCATGGCCACCTTCTTCTCTCTGCCCTTTCCCTCAAATACCATAGTGTGGACTGAAATAAACCAATTCTTTCTTCATATGCAAAATTCTGGATTACACGAGCATATAAAGTCATAACAGGAACTGTCTTTTTCTCCATTCATTTCTGGATGCCTGCCTTGCATTGAGAAGTTCCTTGCAGCTCTCACAGAGAGAGCTGAGCCCAATCCAGTACTATAATAATCATTTTTGATGGCCTGTTGTGATCTACATCTGGCCTGTTGTGATCTACATCTCCTTTCCTCGTTTTGAAAATTTCAATGAATATATATTTTTAAAAGAAACAACTTGTTAAACGAAAAGAAAATAGTGCTGAAATGAAATTAAGAAAGGAAAATTTGATTGATAATTCTTTCCCAATCTCGGAAAAGCTCCCAGAAATTCAAATGTGTGAAAATTCTAAACTTAAATTAGTTTCAACCTCCTCAGTTATAGACGCCCCAAGATTTTCTTAAGGCGGAACATTCTTAAGGCGGAAACATTTAAATGCTGAAATGTTGAATATATACAAAATTTCATTTTACTCTGTACAAGGAAGGAAGTGTGTGTGAGTGTGTGTGTGAGAGTGTGTGTGTGTGTGTGTGTGTGAGAGAGAGAGAGAGAGAGAGAGAGAGAGAGAGAGAGATGTTAATATATTATAGTTGTACAAATTTTGTTTATCTAATGCCAACTTTGAGCAGAGCCAGCAGATATGAATTTGAAATCTGTTTGGCCACTGCCAACCACATTACTGCAAAGCAGAAATCAGGTGAGTTCGTTATACTCTGATCTGAAAGCCAAGCTTTCCAGCTGTGCTATCCTTTGGGTAGGGAGGAATTTGGGGATCAAATCACACCCTAGATTTCCTTTCATGTTGCTCTGTTGCTTTCTGTGATGTGTGGACCTTAACTGTGTCCTGTTTATGTTAAAAGGAAGCTAGTCTTGCAAACAAGATGAAAAGTCCATTTGTAGGCTACCTTGTGGTTGCATGACATTTCTTGGAGGACAGCTGTATCCTTGGCACATCTTTATCCCAGACTCCTTTCATCCCTGTTTGCTTCTTTGTTTACATCACATAACCAAGATCCTTTAACTATAGATGAATTAAGCTAGAACAATTAACAGTTCCTAGCTCTACCCTCACTATCTTTCATTTTAAATTCTCTTTATTTGATTTATATACACAACCAAAAAATAATACATAAAAAGAAGACCAAACAGCGAGACCTTCGTTACACAGAAGTAACATAAAAAAAAGAAAATGATAAGTGAACAAATAAGCAATAAGTAACCGATCTCCAGTTCAGGTCTTACTCTTCTCCTTTGCTTCTTTAAAACCTTAATATTCCACCTCTCTCTTCATCTCCCCACTGACCTCCTTCCCTCCTGCTTTCAGGCTTCTTAATATCTATGGTTTGTCTTTCCAGCAGTTGTTTTATTAAATAATTAACACATCTTGAGATTTATATCAAACCCGCTACAGTCCTTAAATTTCTGTGTTTCCCTTCAATATAGGTCATAAATTTGTTCCAATCATTCACAAACCTTGCATTCTTTTGGTTCCTAATCTTTTGCGTCAATTTTGCTAGGTTTACATATTCAAAAAGTTTTGTCTGCCACTCTTCAATTGATGGGGTACTTTGACTCTTCCAATTTTGGGCAATTAACAGTCTAGCTGCAGTCGTGGCATATTGGAATAACACTTTATCCTCTTTTTTAATCTCGTCCCCCACAATTCCCAATAGGAATGCTTCCGGCCGTTTAGGAAATGTATATTTAAATATTTTTTTTATCTCATTGTAAATAAGTTCCCAATAGTTCTTCATTTCTTCGCATGTCCACCACATGTGGAAGAAATTACCCTCTTTTGTCTTACACTTCCAGCAATTCTGTTTCCTGTTTTGTACATCTTCCCTAACTTTGCTGGTGTGATGTACCACCTATACATCATCTTTTCTAAGTTCTCCCTAAGTGCTACACATGCCATAAATTTCATTCCGCTAGACCATAACTTTGACCATTTATCATACTCTATATTGTAACCCAGATCCATTGCCCATCTTGTCATCACCCATTTTATTTCTTCCTCTTTCGTGTCCCATTCTAGTAGTATGTTATACATTTTCGATAATAATTTACATTTGCCTTCAATTATCTCTATTTGGAACTTTGATTTTTTCTCATTCATACCTGTTTTTTTATCCGCTATCCATATCGCATTTATTTGGTGGAATTGTAACCAACCGGAAAGCCTGTTTTTCAATTCTTCGTACGTTTTCAACTTCCATCCACTTTTCGTTTTCGTCAGTAAATCCTCATATGTTAATCTTTCTCCCTCCATATTAACCTTTTTTATTATCAGTATGTCCATAGGGGATAACCACCAAGGTGTTTTCCATTCTAAAAGTTTTTTATTTCTTTCCCACACTTCTAAGAGAGGCCCCCTAATAATGTGGTTCGAAAATTCCTTATGTATCCTTTCTTTATTTTGCCACAAGTATGAGTGCCAGCCGAACCTGTTGTTATACCCCTCCAGGTCCAACAGATCGGTGTTTTTTAGTGTAATCCAATCCCTAATCCAACAGAGACTGGCGGCTTCATAATAAAGTTTCAGGTTGGGTACCGAAAACCCTCCTCTCTCTTTCCTGTCCGTAAGTATTTTAAAATTAATTCTTGGTCTTTTATTCTGCCATATAAATTTCAAAAGGGTTCTCTGCCACTCCTTGAATAGTTTGGTACCTCTAATTACCGGGATATTTTGAAATAAAAATAGCATTCTCGGAAGTAGGTTCATTTTTATCGCTGCCATCCTTCCTCTCCACGAAAGCTTCACTCTATTCCAAGTTTCTAGATCTTTCTTAATTTCCTTCCATGTTGTAGTGTAGTTATCCTGGATCAAATTTATGTTTTTT